AAGGACTCACCGTACAATTCAACCCATTCTTCTGGTACTCCATCGATCACAAGGCCAAATATGTCCCTCAGCCCAGCTGATGATAAAGTAAATATTCTGACGAACTGCTTCAAATTCCAATACATTTCGACGCCACTAAGTGATCAAGGTGCTGTACGTAATCGTTAAGAGACGAACGTCTAATCAATACTTACTCTGACGCCCCCTCAGGCCTACGAATGTCAAATGCAAGCTACGGGGGCGGTGGCCGGGGGTGGTGGGTGTTCCTTGGCTAGGTTATTGCATCATGCGAGGATATTCTGTGATAACGCCTGCGCAAAACCCTGCGAGTTAGCCAACCCGCACGTCTATCATGTAACTCGTCCCGCCCTGCATTTTCCATTATGACTTTCCACTCCCCGTTTAATGCTTTAACTGAAGATATATGGAGAATTAATGAAAAACAAGAATCAATATTCGCCTTGTTAAAACAGATGAGTTTTAAAAAAAATCCATATCATCTCAACCGGAAAAAAAAATGGTTTGTTACATAAACTAGCATCTGTGTAAATATAGTTAGCCTCTGGCAAGCTATTCCAAACTGCGTCATTCCTTACGACTCCCAAATTGGCACCAAGTTACAATTACAGCAAAACCCCTGTCCAATGCGTATTTGCTTATACACTCAAAAAAAAAAAACATTTTCCGAACCAGGAAAATTTGCGTTGGCACCTTAAAAATCCTAAAACAATTAATACGGCACGCTAAATAAAATAAAAAAATCACCGAAATTTTAAGCAACCACGTCAACTCTCGGTGATTCAGAGCTAAACTTCTAAGCGGTCCTAATTATCCTAATGATCTCAAATGATTAAGCCATCAGCTTCCAAACGTATCATCAGTAAAGCGAGCTGAAGATGACCGTTTTCTGGGTTGTGGCGCAAAGGTAATTCAGTTTAAACCAAGTGTGTCGTTTAGTGTAGAAAGATCTACAAATGCATAATGTGGCATTTCTTCGGCAATATTTCGTACACAAATTTATTCGTTTCCGGAAACACAAAAATCTCAGAGTCTCTTCATTTCTTGAATATACTCGTGTGTGTATGTATATATATATATATCTTGTAGAAGTTGTGGGCCTCAGGGTCTCACAGACGGTCAAAGAAAGTTGCTGTAGCGAGTTCCATTGTACCAGCCAATATACAGAAAGAACCGCTGTGAAATGGACCATGAAGCTGCACAATTTCTATTTTTTTTTCGGTTTGAACACGGAATTTTTCAATCAGTATGATGAATCAGCTACGGGATGGACGACCGGGGGTCG